TTGAAGGAAGAGATAAAGAAATGGGTGTGAAGGTTATAAAAAGTAGCATTTGTAGCACCTAATAAAAACATGGTTCTTTAATCAAGAAGTAGGTGACATCTAATGCCAGGGAGAGAAAAGAAATCAACTGTAGGAGTTGCCTCCATTACTTTGATTTTTCTTTAATTTTGCTGCCCTTCTTCTTTCCCCAGAAAAAATGGGACCAAAAATTAAGTAATGCTTAAAAAAAAAAAAGAAAGAAGGAAAGAAAGGTTAAATAGCAAAAACCTTTACTGAACAGTTACTATACTAAGTATTGTGCTAAATGTTTTACATCAATTAATCTCATATAATTTTTGCAATCATCCTCTGAGGCAAGTATAATTCCTATACCCATTTAACAGAGAAGGAAACTTTGGCATAGAGATATTAAGAATTTACCCAAAATCACAGTTTATGAAAGTAGAGTCAAAATGCAAATACAAACAAATTACAGAATCTATGATTTCAACCAATTTGCTCATACTGTCTCCAAAAAGAAGTTTCTCTGTTATTCTACTATTAAAACAAAAATAATCCTTGGCCGATCAGAGATTTAAAAAAACTTCTTCAACAATATAAATACCCACTAAGAGAGTAATAGCTATATATAATGAATTTCTGTAGGTAAATTTAAAATGTAAGACTAGGCTGAAGGTATAGTTCAGAGACAGTTCTTTCCTTGCGTGTTCAAGTCCTGGGTTCAGTACCTGGCATCATAAAAATCAATAAATCAACAAAATATAGGACTACAATTACAAACAAAATGAAAAACACAAAATCAAATTTCACTCATATATACTTTGATATCATTCTTAAAAGTTTAAAAATAATATCCTAATTATGTATAGAAACATAAACTGTCATGGGATGATTTAAAAGCTCAATTTATAACAATCATTACCTCTAGGGAATAAAGGAAAAGACTGGGATCAAGGAGAAGGACCAAAAGACTTTAATTTGTTTAAAGCAGCTATGAGAAACATAATGTTAAAATTTGATAAAACGTTGTATGTATACAGTGTTATGTTAGCTTTTATTTTTATCTACATATTTGAATTATTTCCCAATAAAATAAGTAATTTTTAAAGCTCCACAGGTAACTCGAATATATAGCCAGTTTGGGAAAAGAGAAAAAAAACTCAATTTCAAATACAGGTATAGTTATCCTCATTTTTTAAAATAATTGGATGTCTCTTTATGAAAAACATCTAGGGGTCAGGGTGGGGATTTAGCTCAGTGGTGCCATGCCTTCCTCACCAGCACAGGGTCCTGAGTCCCAAAAGAAAAGAAAAAAAATCCATGTTCCATAATTGACACATTGTAATCAACTCCCTCACCAATATCTATTTCCAGTCTCTTGTAAATGATGAAAAACTACAATCTTTGTGTGTATAATTTTACTATGTGTCAACATCTTCTCTATAGATTATGAATTATTAGAAACCAGAAAAAAAATATTATTTTCTAAATCTCCCACTTCTAGGTGACCATGTGCCCTGCTTTCTACTTTTCCCAGTAAAACTATTAGTGTCTTCTTTCACTCTCAAAAGTGACCGTATTTGGATGATAAATTGCAGTCACCCCACTCACTGCAATAATTTACAGAAGATATGACTACATCTCAGCATCTCTATATAAAACCCTCAAAAGACTTTATTTTTCATTCTCTAAAACAACACTCAAAATAATTTAGAAAAGACAATTTTTATTTATAAATAATGTTTAGAGTTGAGGATTTTATAACTCTACCCTCAAAAAAGCTTCAATACACCAAGAATCTTGTAATTATTTTACATAAGACTCAAAGATGTAAATTTAAAAATAGCAAGCATATTTTTTTTTACCTCCCAAATATATTATTTTCTTAATGTAAATTCAAACATAGGCTTTTCTCTGTGTGTGTGTGTGTGTGTGTGTGTGTGTGTGTGTGTGTGTGAGTGATACTGGGGATTGAACCCAGGCCTTTGTGTTGAGCTATACCTCAGATCTATTATTTTTTTATTTTAGGACAGGGTAACTTGCTCAGGCTGGGCTCAAACTATTGCGATCCTTGCCTCAGCTTACCAGAGTTCTGGGATTAGTTGTGGGCCTTTAAAGGTAATAACTACATGTTCCTTTAATTTTTCAATTTCATAGTTCAAAATTATTTAAACCAAAACTTAAATGAAAGATATCAGATATATCACCTGCATTTAAATCATTTACTGGCACTTCCAAAGTAGCTGCAACTTTTTTTAAAGTGTTCTGCATTTCTGGTCCAGTTTTAAAGGCTTCTACATGATAAAGAGCTGTAGCATTCCTTTCCACTTCAGTTAAAAACTTCTCACAATGATCAAAGAATCTCATTAGTTCATCATTAACTCTTGGAGGTCCACACTCCATATCTGAAAGAAATTATATATGCAAATTATATATGTAAACTACAGCATAAGTGACAATTTCAAGTTACTGAAAATTGTTTCAAGTGTGAAAAAGGTGCTCTAGTAACCTATGAATTGACACATCTGAAATAACACATACTGATCAGAAAGACAAAGGATTAAACTAACCCACATTTATGATGATCATAATGCATGAAAAGATATGTTTAAAAAGGCCAAAAACTTAGAGCATTGCAAATAAAATGTGCTAAAGCAATACCAGATAATGAAATAAAGATAAATGAAATAAATGTTTTCTTATAGTAAACAAAAATAATTAGGGAAATTATGAAAAGTGCAAAACTATGCTATGTAATTACTGTTACTGTCAGAAAGTTTTTTTTGTTGTTTTTTTTTTTTAAACACATTTATTTTTTTCTGGTACCAGGGATTGAACTCAGGACCTTGTACTTGCCAGGCAGGTGCAGCACCACTGAGCTATATCCCCAACTCCTCTACTGTTTCTGTGAGGCACAGAAAATTTGACAAAGCAAACTAAAAATTTGTAAAATCTGTAGGTACAAAGTAAGGAAGAATTGCATAGACTGAATTCTATACAATTTACTCTACTGTCTCTACTTTAAGCCAGAGTCTAAGAGTATTTTAGTTTCTCCATAACTGTCCCAAACAGTTATCACTTTACAAAAGATTCTGCTTTGGACAAAAACTACTGACAACAAGAAAAAACATACCATCTCAGGTCTCACGGTGCTAGGTGCTTCAGATTTGGTTTAGCTGCCAACTGAGCTTTCAAATAATTTTCATTTAGAATTTAGTGAGTTACATTATTTCTCATACATATATGTGTTGAAGAAGCACTCGTAATCATGCTTCAACTATTGGGGGTGCCTCTTAAATTTTTTTAGTCATATTTAAAATCTCTCAATCATCTGTTCTCCAACAGTTCATCATGAAAAGACCAGGTATCACTTCTGTATATAAAATACGAAAATATAGTTCTACCATTTTGCTATGGATGTGTATGCAAGCATAACAGATGTATAAATATGTTCTCTGATACAGATAACTCTTTTTTTTTTTTTTGGTTGATACAGATAATTCCGTTCACTTTTATTATCAAGTGAGTTACAGTTCTTAAGAAAGTATCATGAGTGGGAAGAAAAAAAGGCAAGTTTGTCATCTTTTTCTGAGCCCTCAAAATAGGATCTCATGTGGTTCTAGATAGTTAACTCTTATTATTATCTATTACTGCTGCCCTTCAAATAAAACAAAGGCATTGTTCTGTTCTATAAAAACACATAATCTAATTCAGTGGTCTCCCACAAAAGCCCAGATGTTTTCCCACAACAGGCAAAACAACTGTCTACAGATGATGACAAAAAGACTAGGCAAAGGGTTTAATCTTTGAGACTGAAAATGGTGGGTGGGAGGATGGGGGCTATTCTGAACTGTTTTGATCCCTGGCTTTGTCCTGAACTGTTTTTGATCCCTGTCTTTGTACTCTGCAGCAAATGACAATGCAATTTAAGGACCATAATTATTTCATTCCAGAAGGCCCTGTATATACTATATAGTATAGGCTGTGCTATTTTAAAATATGCTCCCTTTTCAGGTAATTTAAGAAATTTATGGTAAATTTTCACCCAAGCTAATAGAAAAAAAAATCCAGCTATAATTAAAAAACAGAAGTGAACAACTGAATAACACAAGTCAGCCAACCAAGTTATGCACAAAGCAGCAACAAGACAACACAGCCACTGAGAAATCCCCTGCAGATGGTTTAAATGCTATGGAAGAAAGGACAAACCAGACTTTTAATGCTTTTTCAGTTACACTGTGCAAATAAATGTTCCTCTTTCTCCTACCTTTGAAATTGACAAGAAACTATCAACATTTGTTTATCTCCTGGTTTCATGCTTTACACATTTATATTCTCATCAAATATGTTACAGGACAAATAATTGTTAAAAGAACAAGGTCTGAATAGATTTTCACATGTCCATAGCTAGCTGTATGCAAATTAGAAAATTATTTGGTATTTTTGTATTTCATTTTCTTCATCTGTGAGAAGGGATAAACTATTCATAGAGCAGTTACAAGAGTTTTGTTTTTGGTACCGGTATTCAAACTCAGGACCTTGCACTTAGAGGTAGGTGTTGGCACCACTGAGCTCAATCTCTGGCCCAGTCGCAAGATTTTGGTAAAGTAAATGTGAGGCATGCTTGGCATACAATAGGTGCTGAATGTTTACTATCATTACATGTGACCATAAAAACATTTTCTGAGGGAATAAGCATCATTCTGGAAAAAAGAGTAGAACTGGATTCTGGGCCTGACTAGTCCTTAAACTAGAGGACAACTGAGGCATAGTATTGGGCTCAGCTTGCTCACTTGTGAAATAGAAAGGATCCCGCTGGACCTCTAAAACTGAAAAGGTATAATTAATCGAATAAATTGGTAAGATAGCATGTGTAACCATGGACCACGGATATAATGAGACTCTATAGCAAATACAAGAACAAAACAAAAGGAAAAAATAGGGTATATAAAAGGCTTCAGAGCAGATTCCTAAGTCTAGAACCAATACCTGGAAAAGATGATAAGGAATAACGATCAATAAATATCAAACATGTACAATCTAAAATTTAAAAAAAAATTTAAGTGTGCTCAAGTGTAAAACTAGGTGCCAGGGAGGGAGTAAGGAATGGGTAGGGACTTAGAGGAGTCGATTCAATTTAGAAATGGGGAAGATCTCATCTACCTCCTTTCCTGCTGGATCACCAGCGTCTACTACAGCACCTGATATGTAGAAGGTGCTAAATTCATATCTGATGAATGACTAAATGAATAGAAGAGAAACAGTCAAGTCCACCATGCCCTGTGACCAGCAAAGGCATAGCTGGGAGGATGATGGATTGGGAATACAGGAAAGAGAGAAGAGGCTGGGCTTGGAGAAGTCCAGGTTTCGGAGGAGGCAAGATAGGGTTGTGGAGCCGGGCAGAGCCCCGGCCCCACGGCGCAATCACCTGCGATGTCGGGCGGCGGCAGCCCAGGGTAGTAGTGCTGCCACAGCCCCTGGAGGAAGGCGGCGCCGCTGTCCACGCAGCGGTGCTTGGAACTGGTGACCAGCCTCAGGCGGGCATAGCTCTCCGGGGTGAAGAGTGCCGGGAAGAGGGAAGCCAGGCGCAGCGCCAGCTGTCGCATGTCCTGCCGTCCCTTCTCCACCAGCTGCCCATCCATCCAGTCCGCGTACCACAGCGGCCAGTCCGCCAGCGCGCCGCCCGGGCCGCGAGACCCCGCACTGCCTGGTCTGCCATCCGCCGGCCCACGAGCCTGCAGCAGCCCGTGCAGCTGCCTCAGCTTGCTGATCTGTTTGGCCGTGGGGTAGCGGGTGCCGTGGCGGATGAGGGAGACCAGCTGCACCGGGGTGCAGGTCCCCTCTAGCAGCTCCGGGTCCCGCCTCGGAGCCTCGGGGTCCGACAGCAGCCCGGGGTTGACATCCTCGTAGCGAGTTTTGGTGCCGAAGTAGGGGCTGAGCACCGAGGTCGCCGGGTGCCTCGGCTCCAAGAGCGAGCAGCGCGCAAGCGACGAGAACAGAGCCGCAGCCAGGGCAGCGGCGGGCGATACGGAGGCCCTGAGGAGCCCTAGGGTACCGCAGAGAATCATGCTTGAGGTGCGGCCAGCCCAAGAGGCTCGCGGGCCCGACTTCCGGCTCCGGCGGGCAGGGGCGGGGCGGGCAGAGTGCACTTCCGGTCTGCGCCGCTCAAGATTCGCAGTTCCGGGCTGTCTTGCTTAACGCCTTCGTGAAGAATTCCTCCCTATCAGAAAACTCTGAGGAATGTGGCGCAGACGGAGCTGTGGGAAAACCCCAAGGATCTTGGTTTGCCTGTGACAAAGGTGAAGTAGGCGTCTCCCAGCGGGAGCGTGGGCGAGTTTCCTTTTAGCCAGCACCCTGGGAACTGACTTTAAAGACTCCCCGGTTTTAGTGAATGAATTCCAGACCAACCTTTTAACTTCCAAGGAATCCTGTCTACCAGCCTTACTCTGTCCCACTGTTTTTCAGAATGTCCTCGCTGAACCACCTACAGCTCGCTGGCCCTTGCTTGGGCTTCATGGGAGTCCCGAGGTTTACCCGTTGTTAGAGTTTGAACATACGCAGGATAAAATGAAGTAGAGTGCTTGGAAAGGGGCTTAGTTTACTAGGAATTTAAGCCCTGAACCTTTGGATTTATTTTTATTTGGGCTAGCAGAGCTAAGGGGTTAGAAGGACAAAGTAAAAAACAAAGTTGTTCTTGTGAACACGGCTGGCCAAAATATTATATAACTTCAGGTATAAGCTAAAATGCTAAAAGCATGCTTTTCGTCTGATGCTCTGAATAGCTTCAATAAATATTGCGGTTGTGATCATGAGGCTGCTGTTTGCCTGAGTGAGCTGCAGTCCTCTGATCCTGCTCCCCACGTCTTGCCTCTCTTCATTTTGAGACACCAAGACACTAGGGGAATCAGTGACAGAGACCCAATCCAAAAATGGGCATCTGAAATGAACAGACATTTCTCAGGCAAACAGGTAGAAACAGCAAATAAAAATAGGAACATTATTGACCAACATCATTGGTCACTTGAGACATGTGGATGAAAATAACACTGAAATTCCTCCTCACCCTACTCACTCTTTCTTGAGAAAGAAATCAACTCTCAAGAAATCAGCCAATAACAAATGCTGGCAGGGCTGCATGGAAAAATGAACCCACTAAGTACTATTGTCATCTCCTTGTCTGAACACCAATAGGATATATTACTTTTTCTTGTTAATTTTATTATCTTATTAAAGATCTATAATAATTTATCCAATTTTAAACTAATCAGGTCCTGGGTGCTGTGCTTAGCTCTAGGAATCTGTAGACAAAAAAGATATGGGACATGTACAGAGGAAGTCATAGTGTTCATGAATAAACAGATACAAAGACAGAATACTTATAATTAAGTGTAGTGCTCTAGGAGATATTGGAAAACTAATATAGGCAAATGTCCTTTTATTCAATTAAGTTATATGCTGCTAAAGATTAGGGTCCCATTTGATATTCCTACATATGGAGGAACCTCCTGAGCCCCTAGAACATCTAGCATAGAGATGAGTATTAAGTAATTATTACACATTCATTACCTTGAATTCTTCTGTGAAAAATTTAATACTAGGAGCCTTAGAGGGAATATTAGCCCAAAGCAATCACCATTAAGATTCTGTGTGAAGCCTCCAAGTCTATGAAATCTTAGAAAAAAATAGACCCTTGATTCACTTAGAATCCAAGTTCCTATGCATTTTAGCAAGGGAAGCTCATGTATAATCTTGACTCTGGAGGGAAAGCTATATGATAAACTAGCTTCAGCAGCAGGAGCTAGATATAAGCAGATGCCTACCTATAATACTGGCCAAAGGACTCACATGTTAAAATGAAAATCAAGCCTAAAGGAATATGGTCAAATTGGACTCCAAAATAGGTTTGCTGTCAAGCAAAGCTGTCCTGGAGACCAGTACTGGGGCATGGGTATATGGTCAATACGGGGGGACCATGGATATCTTTTGGGGATTAACAAGGTTTGCTGTGGGCAAGTAATATATTTGTTTTGTAGCTAAGAATGGTGACCCTACAGAAACCTGGATATTGGCCAGTGAAATTTTGTAGGCAAAGCAGTGTTACTTAAAGATGCTTAGATTGGACAGCTAACCAACACTTCCAACAGAGAATTCTCACTGGAGTTTATTGCAGTTTATGTAACAGTGGAGTTTTATTGATGTAAAGTTCCTTCTTCCTCCAATACACATCTGTGTTTTTCTGGCTATGTACTGAGTTAACTTTGGGGACTGGGAATGATGGCAATTGACAGATCACAGCTCATTAGCTGAACGTTTACTTAGCCTTTTGCTGAAGCCAATCACAAACAACCCAGTGGCAAATTTGAAAGGTCTAAGTTCCAAGAAAGAAATTTTGACTAAAGGAGTTAAATAAATTCTGGGGTTCGTTTGGGCTTTTACAGCTAGTAAATACTGTTACATGATCAGAAACACCCCATGAAAGCAAAAGGGTGGGACAGGAAAGGCATGTACAAAGCGCTTTTGAAAAGAATGTAGGAGAGGGCTGGGGATTTAGCTCAGCGGTTTGGTGGCCTGCCTTGCAAGTGCAAGGACCCGAGTTCAATCCCCAGTACAAAAAAAAAAAAAAAAAAAAAAAAAAACCCACTGCATAATTTTCTAAAGAACATTCTTAATTTAAATAACTACTAGTGTGTGAGTACACTTTATGCTTCTAACACAGTATTACATGGATTTTACAATTTTAATTTTTCTAACATCCTAGTAATGAGGATATTATACATCAAACCCACAGTAGGTAGCCAAATGGGAATCGAACGCTGATCTGTGTCATGACAGAGCCAGCTATACCCCAGCCTCCCTATGTACAAATGTGTTGTCCTTGGCTCATTACTGTACTTAGGAAGTTAAGGCACAAAAGTCCAGTGCATATAGTTTCGCTGTGATGTGGCTAGCATCCATTTCTAGAAATGCACATAGGAATCGTACTATGACAATAACAAGAGATAATCTAGATAGGTCTTATTTTTAAACATTTGTATAGGTACATGTTTGCTGTACATAATGTTTACATTCCTGTATGGAGTTACACAGTTCATCTCAATTCCTTTTTTCATCTCCATTACTTCCACTCTCTATCCCCTTCATTTCTTCATTGCTAATCTTTACACATTTGTTAATAACTGAAAAAAATGTGCATGTTTCCTCGATAGAGCACAGAGGACCAGTTTTCTGCTAGTCCTGATGCTAACTGCAAGGGACCGAGACCTTTGGTATGGGCAAACATATTTGTAAACAACTCAGTGTAGTGAAGAAATACAGTTCCTTCAGTTCCCTGGGGGTTCAGAGGAAGGTGGGACCCATTGCTTTAGAGGGTAAGGAGAACTTGCAAAAGGAGGCAGCGTTTGAGTCAGGCCTCAAAGGAGTTGACCTCTGCCTTCTAGACTGAGGGAAGCAACTCAGAATAAAGCTTTGAGGGATGGCCCTGAACAAATTGCTAAAGGATGAGCCATAAAAGTGCTACTATGCTTTATAATATCATATAGAACATAGTCTAAATTATAAATGGATGCTAATAAACTAAATGAGGTAAGAAAATGAATGCAATTTACAACCATAAAGTTATCATTAGCGATCAACTAATGAGATAGCAAATATACTTAGGTAATGTCATATGGTATATATTGAGATACCACAGATAATAACGAAGACAATACATCCTGGAGACAGGAAGCCTCAGCTTATATCGTGTCCTGTGTGAAAGGGGGCAAGAACGAATAGATCCCTTATTTTTTGAATCATTGATTTGCAAATGCAACTGATTTCAGACTTTCACGTTTTTAAAAAATTGCTGCCTTTTAAATTTAGAGAGGAGAAAAAAAACCTGTACTTTGAAATTTTATTATCTTAGATTCATGCATGACATATGGTGATACGTTTTCTGTGTCTGTTAGTGTCAACTTATCTATGTAGCTCTAATTTTCCTTATTTGTTTGTTAGATCAATTGTGCTATAAGGTTACATTTAGGCTGGTGTTTTTATGTTTGCTTTGGTATGTGTGTCGTGCCTCAAAGGATAAAGGGACAATAGTGCCATTCCTATTTTAGAAATGAAGATCTAGAAATACAAAGTTGAAGAGATAGGTAAGACTGAGCTGTAGGCTTAGCATATGAAATTCGTCAAGACCCATTGTGCTGTTGGGAAAACACAATAGGCACTGGTATCTATCTGATAGGTCTGAACTCAAATTTGACCTTTTACATATCTGGACTTTTCTATTCTCTAATGGCTGGATTGTGGATAGTTTTTAAAAAAGCAGAGTTAATAGTACAGTACCACAATAATCCATAGGATAGATTCTCCTTTCTTCATTTTTTTTCATTTGAAATTGCCTTCCTCACAGAAAGTTTGACATTTGAGCTTTTAATACAAACATTCTCCTATGTTGATTTTCCAGAACATTGCTCAGCTTTTCACTTTGCGTGAACATTTACCAAAGTCAAAGAGACCACAAGTAAAGTGTCTGACATTGTAAAATAATTTATCACGTATGACAGAAAGAGTCATGATTGTGAATGGAGACGGGTGGGTGTTAGCTCTGCCTGAATTCTGAGTCCGAGCCTGGCGCCTGACTGAATGGCCAAACTCTGTTTCATAGATCCTTCTTGTGGGGGCAAATATGCAGTGACTTATGTTCCCTGTTTGACCTTTTACTGTTGTGATTTTTCAAAACCACAGAACTTAATTTCAGGTGTCATCCCAAACACCACAGTCAAATGTATAGTTAACCAACTGGCAAACCAAGGATAAACTAATGGATAGGATATAACCATTTACCAAGTAACCCCAGTCAATATTCTTAAAGGTTTGGTATCTGATACTTCTGAGAGATGTTTGCTTGAAGATGACCAAATAAATATAAAAGTAGAAAATATTGATAAACTCTGGGACAATAAACCTCAGTTAGGCAGTGTCACTTGCCAGGATGACATATGTGATTGTTCTCATCTATGTGTATCACAGTCTTGCTTTCTGTTCTCAATTTGTGAAATGAAATTTATCAATTGTTATAGATTTTTTCAGTGTTTTCTCCCTGAACAATATTGAGAACAATGCCCTAGTTCATAAAGTTT